GCTACATAGTAAACTCGAGGCCACCCAGGATTATAAAACCCTGGTCGCAAACTCGACTCTCTTCAATAGACTTGTTCAATGCCTCGCCAGTGGCTTTGTGTTCTTCAGAATCACTCACAGAAAGCCCAGGACAGACTGACCTAGAAGCCAAAGAAGGACTGTGCTGTGTGCATGTAAAGCCAATTACTCTGTCCCCTCTGACGTAGGAGATGGAACACTTCTGCCCTTTAGAGGGCACTGTTGCCTTGCCCTGTAGAAACTGGTACAGAAAGGAATGTGAAGCCATCTTTCTCTGTTCTCTGAAAACTCCAGGAGACATAACTTTATTTATTTAAAATACTTTATTTAATTACTGCCTATTATTTACACTTAATATTATTTAACCGCCACATTTAGAAAATAATAAGAATAGTAAGTGATTAGGAATCTCTTACGGCTCTTTTCAAGAGGTCAAGTTTGAATTTCTAAAGAGTCTTTTTCCCCTCTGAGGGGACTCCTTCCTCTAGTGTTTTACACGATCCTTATGAGTAAGATGGGGGGGGGGCGTGGAATCCTGAATAGAGAGACTAAGTTATTTTTTAAACTAGGAAATGGAGTCTCGAATTGTGGAATATATGGATGATTAAGCCCATGTGTCCTGAAGGTACTTTGCCAGAACAGAACACTTGAATAGAAAACCTGTAATTTAATTTGGGGAGAGGAGGGCAAATAGAGACGTGTGAAGAAAGCATTTAGGACCTTGGAAACCTGATGTCTTTAAGATTGTGTTATGGTAGAGATACGTTGCGTTTTGACTTTGGGGGTTGTAAGAACCTGTTGGCTATGTTTAAGAAAGTACTTCTAATTTATTCAATACCTTCCTAAATTATTCCCAAAAATAAGGTGGAAAGTCTCTGAGACCATTCCCAGAAAACCTCGGCTGTATTGTTAAATTATTTAATGTTAACATTTGTATGACTCCAATGCTTCCCAGTGATGGCCATGTGTCCAAGGAAATGTAATTTTGGCACAAGGGGGAGGGATAGCTGTTCTATATTTGTTTTTTTCTCCTATAAATTGTAATTGGGCTATATCCTGGTTTAATTTGTCATTGGTTCTTTTGTGGAGGGGGGGCAACACTGTGTCTCCCTATGTAGCTCTGGCTGTCCTGGAACTCACAGAGATCTGCCTGAGTGCTGGGATTAAAGGAGTGTGCCACTATGCCAAGCTTTTTTGTTTGTCTGTTTGTTTTGCTTTAAACTGGTGTCATTTCTAGACTGCCTTGTGTGGCTGCTGGAGTACATTTTACACTGTGCTTATATCATTCAGCTAAAGCCTTTTCCTTATGCCACCACGCACTGATGCTCCATCTTGGATCGTCTTCCCCCAATACTGAGCTGTTCCATATGATCCAAGGTGGGAGTGTCTTGAGTATAGCAAAACACTAAAGTTCCGGAGTTTCCATCAGTGGTCTGCTGTATGCGAGTATGGAAGAGTGCTACTTTCTAGCGATAGTTGGATATAATAGTGACTCAGCATGCATCCAGGGCACGGTGGCAAAAGGACTGAGTTTCAGGGTTCCTGAGCTACAGAATGAGGCCTTATTTAAAAAAACAAAACAGCAGCAACAACCTGAAAATACATTTGAGTAGTTCATGGTTTGGCTGTATTATTGGAGATTCCCCCCCTCCTCTCTCTTTTTCAAGACAGGGTTTCTCTATATCGCTTTGGGAGTTGTCCTGGTACTCACTCTGTAGACCAGGCTGGCCTCGAACTCACAAAAGATCCGCCTGTCTCTGCCTCCCGAGTGCTGGGAGTAAAGGCGTGCGCCACCAACGCTTGGCCGGATCTTTCACTTTCTTCTATGTATGCATGTTGTGAAGATTGGGAGCTTTGTGAGTTAAAGTTCATTCATTAAAATTTATCCTAGAGACAAATTGTCTATTTCTTTCATGGGACTGTGAAATGGGCTTTCCCTTCCCCTTCTGTAAGCAAACAAATTGTAAGGGTTTGTTGCGAGAGAGAGAGAGAGAGAGAGAGAGAGAGAGAGAGAGAGAGAAATGCCAGGTTTGGGAAATGCATGATTATTCTAAATGCTGTAATGTTTCTTTGGTCCTTTCTTGGCTTTACAGTCTTCTGGGTTGTTCTGTTGCACAGCAAAGAAAATTCATTTGGTCTGTATTCAAAAGTGACATTCTGTTCCATTAAGAAAGAATCCTTGGGGCTGGAGAGATGACTCAGCAATTAAGAGCACTTGTTACTCTTGCAGAGTACCAGGGTTTGATTCCTAGTACACACATGGTAGCTTACAACCATTTGTAACTCCAATTCCAGGGGAAGTTGTCTTCTGACTTCTGAGAGGGCACCGCCATGCACATGGTACACATACATATATGTGGGCAAAATGTTCATACACATAAAGAAATCTTAGGAAGACAAGAAATAATCTGTAGTGAGCATTCTGATCCTAACTCCAGTGTATTTGTCCTAGACATCTGCCATTTCCAATAGGGCAAATGTCAAAGGTAAAAGTTGTGGCTTCGAGGAGAGAGAGAGAAGTGGTAGGGAGATTGTTCTAGATTGGGTATGACACTCAACTTTATATGTCTTTCCTTCAGTAGCTTGGTATGAAAAATAGATTAGCCAAAGAGATTGTGCAGGGACTGAGGCTCAGTGGTTAAGGGCATTTGCTGTACTTTTAGAGGACTCAAATTTGGTTCCAGCACCCATTTAGTTGCCTCACAACTATGTGGAACTCAAGCTTCAGGGGATTTATTTATATATTTATTTATTTATTTATTTATTGGTTTCTCGAGACAGGGTTTCCCTGTGGCTTTGTAGGCTGTCCTGGAACTAGCTCTTGTAGACCAGGCTGGTCTCGAACTCACAGAGATCTACCTGCCTCTGCCTCCCAAGTGCTGGGATTAAAGGCATGCACGACCACCGCTGGAACTTCAGGGGATTTAATACCCTCTTCTGACCTCTGAGGTCACCTGCATACCCTCATACAGACATACACATTGATAAAAATAAGTCTTAAAAAAGAAGTTGTACATGGCTGGGCATTGGTGGCACACCCCTTTACTTAAATCCTAGCACTTTGGAGGCAGAGGCAGGCGGATCTCTGTGATTTCGAGGCCAGCCTCGTCTACAGAGACCTAACTTAAAAAAACAAAGCAAAATCCTGGTTGTGGTTGCCACGGGCAGTGGGGACCAGTAGTCTGGAGTGGTCTCACTCTAATTGCCCATCCATACACCTGGACTTTGGAAACATGCTCAGGTCTAGAAGTTGCATTGACCTGTGTCAACTGGACTCTGTTAGCCACAGCCAGCCATAATCTGGAGTCCCAAGCATACAAAGTTCCTGTAGTGGCAAGCATCCTCTCAGTAGACCGCCACAGAGTCGAATTTGGAAAGTTGAAAAGCTACTTATGTTCCTGACAAACCTGCAAACCAGAATGTAATCCTGCTGCTGACTGGAGCTGGACAAGGAGAACCCTGAGACCTGGGAATGTTCTCTTCGCAACCAGAGTTGTCAGAAGGGAAAATGTGTTGAAAGTCCCATCTTGGAACCAGGAATGCATATCAGCAGCTGATGCCTGTCCAGCATTGACACTGGGCTGTGGCGAGAGTGACTTTGTTGTGGTCTTACTATTTAATGATGCTTTGAATCTCCATTGTAACCCCCCTAACCCCACCCCCATTCCGACTCCCACTCCTGTGCCCAAAGTGGGGTGCAGAAAGGCCTGATGCCTGCTTGGTCCCAGAGCTTTAGCCAGGGGCCACTGCCCACAGCTGGATGCTGACTGGTTCCCATGGCCAAATTTATGAAGATAGCTGAAATTGAGAGAGGCTGTTTGTGCAGGCAGAGACGGGAGGGAGCGATGCCGCAAATCTTTCTCATAGGTGGAAGCTGCTGTTTCTATCAACAAACACCACCGCCCTCACCTTATGATTTAAATGGAGCTCTCAGAGTGTAATTGAAAACTATTATTATTGTTGTTGTTATTTTAGCTAGTACATGCATATAATCCCAGCACTTGGGAGGTGAGGGCAGGAGAATCAAGAGCCCAAGGCCAGCTTCAGCTACAGAATACATTTGAGGCCATCTTGGCCTAAGACACTGTCTCCAAAATACCAACAATCAAAAACAGTACTTTTTTCAGTGCTTGTAAAATTAGATTCTGGCAAAATATAAAACCTTTCTGGTAAGGTATTTAATAACCGCAGCTAACAATCATTAAGAACTTGCTAGCCTGTTCTAAGTACAATTTGACCGTATTATCTCCTTTAGCTTACAATAATCTTATCAAGTGTGTACTCCAGTTACCTTGAATTGTTAGTTGCCGTGAGGAAGTTGAGAGGGCGCACAATGAGAGTAACCCAAGACTTGAGTTCTAGAATGGTCTGATTCTAGAGTCATGGTCCTACTTATTCTACTAGTGAATAGTGTCTCATGTGTCTAATCCTGGCACTCTTAAAGCTGAGACAGGAAGATTATGAGTTCATGGCCAGCCTGGGCTACAGAATAAGATCTTAAAAAAAAAAGAAGAAGGAAACAAAGAAAACCCAAAGCTAGAGGTGAGGCTATAGCTCTTGTG